ACCAAAGGAAGGTCCGCATTTGCTATGCTTTGCGTCCTTCTTCCCACTGGCTTGCACCACTGTAATTAATAACAGACTGCTCACTGTAACGTGAATGAAGTGGAGCTACAGTACAGGTGGTATTATGTTTGAAAGCACCTAAGAGTTGCATATAGTCAAAATCACTCCCTGAAAATTCTTAAGTCATGATTTCAAAGCGTTCCAACCAAAAGGAGGGTATATGGGAAAGAAGGTCCAGGAAGTCATTTCCAGGAAAAATCTTCCACATTATTTAATGAGTTTGGTTGCACATGTGTGTTTTCAGCATACAGCATGAATGCATCTGTGATGCATACCCCTTCCCCATCCAGGACACCATCTAGCCTTAAGGATTAAGACCATTTAAACCTGAACTGGTTTTTGCTATTAAAAATCCTTATTTTTGGCCATGTGCTGTGGCTCACGCCTGTAACCACAGCACTTTTGGAGGCTGAGGCAGGCGGATCACAAGTTCAGGAGTTCAAGACCAGCCTGGCCGATAGGGTGAAACCCCATCGCTTCTAAAAATACAAAACTTAGCTGGGTGTGGTGGCTCATGCCTGTAATCCCAGCTACTCTGGAGGCTGAGGCAGAAGAATCGCTTGAACTGAGGAGGCGGAGTTTGTGGTGAGCCGGGATCATGCCATTGCACTCCACCAGCCTAGGCAACAGAAGCAAACAAAGTCTCAAAACAAAACAAAAAATTTTGGCCCCAGCACTTTGGGAGGCTGAGACAGATGGATCACCCGAGGCTAGGAGTTCAAGACCAGCCTGGCCAACATGGCAAAACCCCATCTCTACTAATACAAAAATTAGGCAGGCATGGTGACGGGTACTTGGGCAACAAGAGCAAAACTCCCATCTCAAATGGAAAAAAAAAAAATCCTTATTTTATGTACCTTTAATTAAATATCTTCTTATAAGTGAAACAAAATGGATACTCTAATAAGCAGACCAGGCACCTTTTAGGAACCATAATGCTGTGGAAGTAAAAGGGCTTTTCCGATATACTTGATGTGAGTGCTGTTCTGGCTGCCATCCTAGACTGCAGTGGGACGTGACAGCTGTGTACATGAAGTAGCATCTGCAAGTCCAGGAATCAAAAGCAGAGATCCTGCCTTGGAGAGCGAGGAAGAGACAGTGGCATGGCTTGCCCACTGCCACTCAGTCTGCCAGCAAAGTTGTATCCGCATCCCCTGGGGAAGGTCAACTAGAACCCTCTCCTCCAAGGAGGGGTCTCCACAAGGGGCTCCACTACACCCTTCCTACAAGGGCAGTGTTGTTCCTCAAAACACTTTAAGCTCTGGCATCATGAACACACAGCTACTCCACAGGTATTTTCAGAACTGACATGTAGTTCCTGGGACTAATTGTAGAGCGCTGGAATCCAAGGAATCCAAGGTATTAGAGTCCTCAAACAGTCCAACCCTAGTCCTCCTGTACTCTCCTCCAAAACCCCCAAATCCTGGGAGGGGAGTCAGAGCTCCAGGTTTCAGGTGCTGACATGAAGATGCAGAGAAGTTAACTTGTCCTGACATCTCAGCTGCCAAAGGGGAAGCTGCTGACTAGGACATGGACTGAGTCCACAACTGCTGGTATTTCCGGCCACACTATGCACGTTGGCCTGGAGTGGAGACTGGCCTCAGAAGAAATGCGGCTGCTGCCGTGAATGGGAAGACCTGTGAGCCCCACGCAGTGTTCAGTCCCAGTCTCAGCGTTCCCCAAACTGACTCACAACCCATCACCACTGTCAATGTTGCCACATCTGCCTCACACCTGCTTTATGTTCTTATTACGGCTCAACCCCCGTCAGCCCTTTCTTGGAGGGGGCAGAGTCTCCCTTTGTCACACAGGCTGGAGTACAATGGCACTATCACAGCTTGTGCAGCCTCAACCTGCTGGACGCAGGCAATTCCTCCCGCCTCAGCCTCCCAACTACTTGGACTACAGGTGTGAGCCACCATGCCTCACCCTCCCACTCCCTTTTAAAGGAAAACAACGTCAGCAAAAAGCAAAAAACAATTTGCTACAAATTCAGATGGAAAGTAAAATACAAGACAAACATTAAATTTTTGCTACCTGTTGCACTGCATGCTGAGGCTGCAAGCCTGAGACTGGGGCTATTAAAAAGGAAAATCAGCAAGGTCCCAGGTCCAAGAGCACCAAAATGAGACCCAGCCTCAATCCAGACCCACCTTACCCTGGGGTGACTCTGCTACCTCTCACACGCTGGATAGCGTTGAGCTAGGGGCTGAGAGACAGGCTCCAATGCCAGCCTGGAGTCCGGCTCCGAGATCTTCTCAGGGAACTCTGTTTCCTTTAGCAGTGGTGGCTCACTTTGCTTCACCCAACCTCCAACGCTTTTATATTAGGACTCTCGCTGGCAGTTAATGGGAAATCCAGCTCAGACTGGGCTTAATAAAAGTGAGAAGGGGGCAACCGGCTGTCTGGGGAGGGCAGGCTGCTCAAGAACATCAGCAAGGGTTCAGGTTTTCTGTCTCCATCCTGCCATACACAGGGTCGCTTCATCCTAGGCGAGCACCCAGGTATTCACAGGTGCCTCCCACTGACCTAACCTGAGTGGTTTCCCCTTCACTCCGTATTGAGCAAGAATCCCGAACTCTGAGCCAACTGAACCATTCCTCAGCATCCAACTGCGCGGATAGGCTTAGTCCAAAGTGACCTGGTCAGTCACTGAGCTAGCATTACTTTGGTTGGCTTAGACCAGTTGGGAGCCATCTCTGGAGCTAGGATGAAAGCAATTCCAACCCAAATCTCTGCTATACTCAGAAGGTCCGGAGGGATGTTGAGGACCCAGCACTTCAAAGGAAGCCTTGTGCCGTATGAAAACCAGATAAAAGGTGCAGTTGCTCCAACTCAGAAGACGCAGCAAATCTGGAAAAATCTCGAGCTGTACTCTCTGGAAGCAGTGATTCCCAGCCCTGACTGCATACTGAAATCAACTGGGGAGCTTTAAAGACAGGCGATGCTAAGGTCCACCTCCTTGGAGATTCTCCTGTAATTGGTTTGAGGTGTGGCCCAGCTGATTGCCAGACAGACCTGATGATTTAAAGAGATGCGCAGTGAACGTGGGCTACAGGCTTGAGCCTTCCCCTGAGTAGCATCATCTGTATACCATCCTGTGAGACCATTTATTCTCTTTCCCTGCCATTCAACAAACACCTGCCAGCAGCCTAAGAAGAACCTGTATACTCAAGAGATGCAACCTGTGTGTAGAAAACCATTTCACGAGTGTAGACTCACCCCAACATCTCCTTATTTATCACGGCCACAAGGAGACCATGGCCTAGGCTGGAATCCTTACCTTCTGGGTGGTCCCCACTGCAGCAGTGCTAGGCTTGGGGATGGCAACAGAAGACCGGCTCCTCCAGCTGAAACTGTGCCTGTTACGTGTACAACGGAGCATCTCCGTGGAAGGCTCAGTGAGAATCCCCTCCTGGTTGAAGACGCTGGCCTTGGACACTCAGGCTTCACTGGTTTGGTTTTTCAGGGGAACCATGTGGTCATTCTGACCAAATATAATACATGTGTCCCCTGCTGTCCTCCCCTTAACTGCTTCCCCAAACCCAACATCATGAGTAGTCCTTAAAGCACACTCTGCCAGAAGGCCCGGCGAAGACTGCAGAGGCCAACCTCAGACCTGCTGCCCTCCTTTCACTCCCGCTGCTGCAAGCCTGAAATGCATCAAGCTGATGATTACCTGTAAGAATTTCCAGACTTTTGAATCCACAGCAAGGCCAGAGAACTGAGAGAGGAGATTCTGTGACAGCTGCTGGAAATTAGAACTACTTTGAACTCCTCCCAAAGATGTTTGCACTCTTGACCATAACACAAAGTGGGATTTAGTGGGATTTTGCTTTAAGATGGAGAGGAAGATTCCTGGACACCTGCAGTTGCCTGGGTCAATTAAACATCTCCAGGGAGTTAGTAAACTGTATAAGTAGACATTGTGGTCTACTTACAGAAGCTATTTGCCTACCTTCTAACCTTATCAAGAACTCCCCTTTTTACCCCAAGAAGGAGAGTCTATTGAGATGATTGTGTGGTTTTTGTCCTTTTTTTTTTTTTTTTTGAGATGGAGTCTTACTCTGTCACCCAGGGTAGAATTCAGTGGTGTGTGATCTTGGTTCACTGCAACCTCTGCCACCTGGGTTCAAGCAGTCCTCCTGCCTCAGCTTCCCAAGTAGCTGAGCCTACAGGCACATGCCACCACACCCAGCTACCTTTTGTATTTTTAGTAAAGACAGGCTTTCATCATGTTAGCCAGGCTGGTCTCGAACTCCCAACCTCAGGTGATTCACCTGCCTTGACCTCCTAAAGTGCTGAGATTACAGGTGTGAGCCACCGTGCCTGGCCTTGTCCTTTATTAATACGGTATGGTACACTGATTTTCAGATGTTAAACCAACCTTGCATTCCTGTAAGAAATCCTGCTTTGTCGTGGCAAATAATCCTTTTTTTAAATGTTGCTGGATTCTGTTTCCTGATATTTTCTCAATTTTGCATTTGTATTCATGAGGAATATTGGTGTAGCTTTCTTTTAATGTCTGACCTTGTATCAATCACCTCTCAAATGAGAGTCCTGGACAGCACACACTTCTCTAGTGGGACCCCATGCCCAGGGAGTTCGGAATTGGGGCTTGAACTGCAGTGATCATCCAGCTGCCATCCTCCACCACATGAAGCGGAAACCAAGATGCATTTCTTCACACACTCCATATCCTTGGAATAAATTTCCCATTGTCTGAGTCTCTGGTTCTAAGGCTCTCAGATGCAAATGCCCACAGGGGATAGGAGGTGACATAAATTAGTAATTTGGGTTATAAGAAAAGCCTGGAGAGCAGGACTCCCCCGAAAACAACTTGACTTTATTTAGCTCATTGTTTGTTTAAAATTAGAATATCTGGCATTAAAAACAGTGGGCTTAAATTCTCAAGGCAACAGACAAACAGGAAATCCAGCTCTTTATATGCGTTCTCCTAGTTTTTAATTGGTGGCAACTGATTTTAACCATTTTTTGAATAGGCAAACACCAAAATGTCAGAACTTTTAAAGTACAGTGAAAAGGATACCTGTCATTCCAGATATCCACCATTCTCAAATTGGTATTTATCCTTCCAGAGAACTGTAATGCTTTTCTTTTTCACATACATAATAGCAGAACACATACATTTTTCTGCATTTGGCTTTCATATCTTGGCAATATTTCCACACCAGTTCATAAAGAACTCTTAACCCATTTTTACAACATTATAGTATTCCATCATATGGCTGGGCTATAAAGGAATATATCGCAGATCAATAAACACTCGGGTTCTTTCTAATCTTTTGCTATCTCACTGTGAAGTAACTAACCTTGTACATTTATCTTTTCTTTCTGATGTGTGTAAGCTGGATTCCTAGGAGTAGAATTACTGGGTCCGAGGATGTATCCCCCCGACTTTTTTTTATTTAAAAGAGATGGGGTTTTGTCACCCAGGCTGGAGTGCAGTGATCACAGCTCACTGCAGCCTCAACCTCCTCGGCTCAAGTGATCCTCCTGCCTCAGCCTCCCAAGTAGTTAGAACCATTTCTAATTTTGATAGGTATGCCAATTTCCCCCCATGAGAATGGTGTCCCACCGTCAATGTACAGGAATATTTTTCTTCAAAATGTCACCCACAAGACCAGGCACAGTGACTCATGCCTATAATCCCAGCACTTTAAGAGGCTAAAGCAGGTAGATCACTTGAGGCCACGAGCTTGAGACGAGCCTGGCCAACATGGCAAAACCCCATCTCTACTAAAAACACAAAAATTAGCTCGGTGTGGTGGTGTGCACCTGTAATCCCAGCTACTCGGATGCCTGAGGTGTGAGGATCACTTGAGCCCAGGAGGCAGAAGTTGCAATGATCCAAGATCATACCACTGCACTCCAGCCTGGGCAACAAAGCAGACTCTGTCTCAAAAAAAAAAAACCAGTGTCATCAAAAATTTTAAACCTTGCCAGCCTGAAATATGAAAAATCTCAGGGTAACATCAGTATTTTTCTATACTTACTGGCATACATTGAGGCTGAGTATCTTTTCATGTTTTGCATTTTCTGTGAAACTCCTGTTCACACCCTTTGCCCATTTTGCTACTGCCATTTCTTAGGGAGATTATCTATCCCTTTGTAGCATGAGATGCAAATATATATTCCCAATTTATTATCTATCTTTTGAATTTGCTTAGGATTTGGTTTTGGCATTTTTTTGTTTGTTTTCTGTTGGTTTTGCCATGCAGAGGTTTAAAATTTATATATATATATAATCAAATTGATTTCTTTTATGACCTCTTGATTTTGTACAATTCTCCAGTGTTTTTACCTATTTCTTCAATAGATTTGTTTTCTTTTTCTTTTTCTTTTTTTTGAGACAGAGTTTCCCTCTTGTTTCCCAGGCTGGAGTGTAATGGTGTGATCTCAGCTCACTGCAATCTCTACCTCCTGCCTCAGCCTCCCGAGTAGCTGGGATATATAGGCATGTGTCACCAGGCCCAGCTAATTTTGTATTTTAACTAGAGATGGGAGTTTTTCCATGTTGGTCAGGCTGGTCTTGAACTCCCAACCTCAGGTGTTCCGCCTACCTCAGTCTCCCAAATTGCTGAGATTATAGGCAGGCATTAGCCACCACATCCATACTATTTTTTTTTTTTTTTTAAATAAAGATGGGGTTTCACCGTGTTGGCCAGGCTGGTCTCAAACTCCTGACCTCAGGTGACCCACCCTCCTTGGCCTCCCAAAGTGCTGGGATTACCGGCATGAGCCACCGCGCCAGGCTCTATTTTACTCTTTAAGACAGAGTATCACTGTCACCCAGGCTGGAGTGCAGTGGCACAATCTCAGCTCACTGCAGCCTCAACTTCCCTGGCTCAAGCAATCCTCCCACCTCCCCACAAGTAGCTAGGACTACAGGCAAGCACCAACATGCCTGGCTAATCTTTGCATTTTTTGTAGAGAAGGGGTCTTGCCATGTTGCCCATGCTAGTCTTGAACTCCTGAGCTCAAGCGATCCACCTGCCTTGGCCTCCCATAGTCGAAGGATTCAGGTGTGAGCCACTGCACCCAGCCAACAGATTCATTTTATACATTAAGCTCCTAATCGATTTGCAATTCTGGAATTGTTCCAGGTGTGCTGAGTGAGGTATGGAGCTCTGTTTTTTTCCAGAAGGTCACCCAGTTGTCACAACATGAAAATCTCTTAAAACACATCAGGGCAAACCACACATTTCTGCCAATCAGATACAACCCCATGGGCTGCTGTCTTGAAACCTCTTGCTTTGGTGAGCATGAAGTTCACATCCGCTGGGAAAGTGGTTCACTGAAGAGCCTTGCTCTTGGGAAAAACTCCGCAGTGACCTTTCTACTATTGTAACTGTCCAGTATCAGCCACAAAAGAAAAAGACAGGCAGGCCTCTGTGGCCAATACTTTGCGTGGCCCAGGTAGGAGGATCACTTGAGCCCAGGAGGTTGACCAGCCTGGACAACATAGTGAGACTCCATCTCTATTTTAAAAAGAAAAAGATCAGATCACCCTTTCCTAGGCTGCAGTCACCCTTACCAAGGGGTTAGAGGCCATCAATGGGCAGCAATTGAGGACATCATTGACAATGGAAATGTCAGGCACTTGCTTTAATGAGGACGTAGCTGAAGTCACCTGGCACAAGGACAGTGGAGCCGCTCAGAGGACTGAGGTTGGGGGTTCGTGCCAGGGCGCAGTGTCCCAGCCTTCTTTCTCCCTTAAAGAAGTGTCCCTTTCTCCAAGTGTCCCTTAAAACTCATTGTTTGGCCGTGCAAATCCTAGGAAATTTGCAATGGCTACTTCTAGTTCAACTGTCACCATTTCCCATAGATTTCCCTGTGCAATCTTGGCCCTCCTAACAGGACAGGGAAACGCAGAGAGAACAGCCCTGTGACTCTTTTTTTTATTTTTTTTGAGATGGAGTGCAATGGCACGATCTCGGCTCACTGCAACCTCCGCCTTCTGGGTTCAAGCAATTCTCCTGCCTCAGCCTCCCGAGTAGCTGGGACTACAGGCGCGCACCACAATGCCCAGCTAATTTTTGTATTTTTAGTAGAGACGGGGTTTCACCTTGTTGACCAGGATGGTCTTGTTCTCTTGACCTCGTGATCCACCCGCCGCGGCCTCCCAAAGTGCTGGGATTATAGGCGTGAGCCACCGCACCCGGCCTCTCCTGTGACTTCTAACTCTGACATGTAAGGACACTCCCTGAGTCACTCGCTCTTCAGGCCCTGGGATGCTGCTGGTCAGCTGAGAAATGCAGCACAGTCAACCCTCTCCCCATCACAGCCTGGTCCCTGCAACATCAGCCTCCCACTACTGAGAGCCCCTCACTAGGCCTTGTATTCAGCACACACACATCTCACCTCGTGTCACCCTTACCTCAACCCATCAGGCCAGAGACGTTCTCACGTCTTACCGCAGGGGAGGCTGGGCTCAGAGAGGGCAAGGGAAAAGCCCAGTCCACATAGCCAAGAGGCGTGGGAACGGACAGTGCCGCCAGGCGGGCTAACCTCAGGGCTATGCTCCTAGTGTGGGGCCTGTGGGTCTCTGCTTTAGGACACTCAGGTTGTTGTGGCTTAATCACATGGTATTTCCTTCCAACTCACCCTGGCCTCTACTTCAGGTGCTGGGAAGAGAAAGAAGTCTGGGAGTGCCCAACAATCAGCAGACACTCACCATTAAACATGTGTCCTCAACTGCTTGTCTAAAAAATTAACATGAACTTTCTCCATTTTTTTTTTTTTCTGAGACAAGGTCTCGCTCTGTTGCCTAGGCTGGAGTGCAGTGGCACGACCTTGGCCTGCCGTGACCTTTACCTCCTAGGTTCAAGCGATTCTCATGCTTCAGCCTCCTGAGTAGCTGGAATTACTGGTGTGCGCCACAGCGCCTGGATAATTTTTGTATTTTTAGTAGACATGAGGTTTCACTATGTTGGCCAGGCTGGTCTCGAATTCCTGACCTCAAGTGATCTGCCCACCTTGGCCTCCCAACGTGCTGGGATTACAGGCATGAACCACAGCGCCCAGCCAGCTTTCCATCCGATGTCTGCTCTCCCTAAGCACACTGGGGCATGCACAGTGTCCAAGCTCCCTTCGTTAAAAACAGTCCCAGCCAATACAACACAGCCATGAGAATGAATGATCTACAGGGACACAGCAATCAGGACACCTCCCACAGGTAGCATCAAGTCAGTGAGGCCAGAGACAAGAGATGACACACTGTAGGTACACATCCCATTCGTCCCCTTTATACAAAGCAAAGAAACCAGGAACTCCAGCCTACATGGTTAGATGTCAGGATGCTGTCAGCCTGGGCTGGGGGTGGTCACGGGCAGAGGCATGGACCAGAAGGGGGCTGAGGGGGCTGCTCAGTGCTGATAATGTTGCTTGGTTGGTTTCTCAGTCTGCTGAGGCTTAAATAGATGCATTCAGTTTGTGAAAAATTTAGTGAACCACTTAGGCAACCCATTCTGTAATGTAAATTATACTTCAATTAAAGTTTGTGCTAACATAACGTTTTAGGAGGCCAAAAGTTTAAGAGCAGCCTGAACAACATAGGGAGACCCTGTCTCTACAAAAAATAAAATGAATTTGAAAAGTAGCTGGGCATGGTGGTACACTTCTGTGGTCCCCGCTATTTGGGAGGCCGAGGTAGGAGGATCACTGGAGCCCAGGAGTTTGAGGCTTTAGGGAGCCGTGATCATACCACTATACTCCAGCCTCAGTGACAGTTGTCTCATAAAAAAAAAATTGCAAAAGTTACCTCAACAGAAAAATGGCTGGCCAGGCAATGTGGCTCATGCCTGTAATCCCAGCACTTTGGGAGGCCAAGGCAGGTGATCACTTGAGCCCAAGAGTTTGAGCTCAGCCTGGACAACATAGTGAGACCCCATCTCTACATTGTTAAAAATTATTTGTAAATGTAAAATAAAAGCAACACAAAAAATAAATAAATAAAAAGCCAAGCTACTCCATGTACACAGTGCCACTTGCAGCATTCCTGAGGGGAAGAGCACAAAGCTCACAGAGGCGGAGGGCAGGTGCGGCGGCAGTACTGTGCCTCCCGGGCGTCCACAGGAAAAAAGTCTTCCGTCCTATACAGTGCAGGCAGCTCATACGTCAGGGGCACCGGTGCAGGCGACTTCTGGAATGACAAGAAATGGTGCTCTATCAGCAATCTGGATGACCCAAGAATTCCAGGTCTACAAGTTCATCCCACCGGAGTCACACATATGACCAAAGACTCTGGGCTTCTCTGACAGCACTGCCTGTGACAGACAAAGCCGGCCACCCAAAGGGACCAGGCCTTCTCCACAATGGAATACTCTGTGGGTGTCAAGAAGAGCCAGGCAGGCCAGGCGCAGTGGTTCACGCCTGTAATCCCAGCACTTTGGGAGGCCACGGTGGGCAGATCACTTGAGGTCAAGGTCTGAGGCCAGCCTAGCCAACATAGTCAAACCCTGTTTCTACTAAAAATACTGAAATCAGCCGGGCATGGTGGCGCGCACCTGTACTCCCAGCTACTTGGAAGGCTGAGGCAGGAGAGTCACTTGAACCTGGGAGGTGGAGGTTGCAGTGAGCTGAGACTGCACCACTGCACTTCAGCCTGGGCAACAGAATGAGTCTGTGTCTTGGAAAAAACAAAAGCAAAAACAAAACAAAAAGAAGAGCCAGGCAGATGAATACATTCTGGCAGAGGAAGACTAAGAAAGCAAGGTGAGAAGGGCAGATGTGTGACAAAGGGACCATAAACCGACACAGGACAGCTCTGCAGGGCCATCCCAGAGCCTGGGTACAGTGCCTGTTGTTAGTGACAGGACTTTTTTCTTTTAAGATAGAGTCTTGCTCTGTCACCCACGCTGGCGTGCAGTGGCGGCATCTTGGCTCACCGCAACCTCCGCCTCCTGGGTTCAAGCCATTCTCCTGCTTCAGCCTCCTGAGTAGCTGGGATGACAGGCGTGCGCCACTGGCTAATATTTTTTTTAGTAGAGATGGGGTTTCACCATGTTGCCCAGGCTAGTCTTGAACTTCTGGCCTCCGGAGGCCCGCCCTCCTTGGGCTCCCAAACTGCTGGGATGACAGGCATGAGCTGCTGTGCCCGGCCAGGACTGATTTTCCTTCCACTGTACCCATCTGTGCTGCCTAGAGTTCCTGCTATATTGCTATATGCATGTGCTACTCTTGCAAAAAAGAAAAAAATTTAAGAAGTGCTTCCTCGTTTCTGGTGAGCATTTTTGTCGAGGGAGGCAGGGAAGGGGAGATTTCCCATTGTGCCGCTCACTGCCCGTGCCCTGGCTGGCAGGCTTCTGCAGGCTGCTGAGCATCTCCAGGAAAAACCAGGTCACTGAGAACCACCTGGAATGATGGCTCTCAAACCTGGCCATGTGCTGGAATCTCCTGGGAGTTTTATGAAATACTGATGCCCAGGCCCCACGCCAGGGAGTGGGATGTCCTAGTCTGGGGCGTGGTCTGGGCGTGGGACATTTCACAGCTCCCAGGCGATTCTCATGCAGAGTCCAGGCTGCACGGACCACGGCCTGCTCCACAGGAAGGAGGGGGCTGCTGGGCTGCTGCTCCTGGTTGGAGCCAATGGAGACAAGCCAGCATGCAGGGTCAAGGGAGACTGAAGGAGGGGACCAAGGGAAGGAATCTCCTCACCACCTCCCTACCCTGCCTCCCAGCTTCCCTGCAGTCTCATCTCCTGGCCACCTCTGCCCACTCTGGCTGAGACCCAGTTCTGGCTACAGCTGAAAGCTGGGTGTTGGTGCTGGGATGTGAGCTCCAGACTGTGGCCAATGACAGCTCCCCCCATGCCAGACACCTCTGCAGGCCCCTCCCCATGCTGCCTGCTCCCCTCCCCTCCCCCTGCACATGTCAACATGAGCCCAGTACAGAGAGGGAGACCAAGGCTCAGGAGATGCCCTGCCCCAGGTCACATCCCCCAAGCATCTGTCCATCAACCGCCAACCCAATGGGCACCAGGCCAGCCCTGTCCTGTCTGCTGAGGACATAGCTGTGAACAAGACAACCATCCCAGCCTCATGGAGCATGGCACTTAGTGGGGACACAATCGAACCAGGAGAAACAATGCCACCCTGTGATGTGGGCTAATGGTAGGAGGGCACAAAAGCCTGGGGAGCCCAGATGGGGCCTCAGCTCGTCCTAGAGGTCGGGGGAGTTCCGGAGGGCTAAGCCGTCTAGGACCTTCATGGCCTCAGCAGCAGCTGGCCAGGAGTCAGGGGAAGGGGGTGTGGAGGTGCCAAGGGCCAGTGTTCCAGGCCAAGGGAACAAACTGTGCCAAGTGGGTGGCATGTGGGGGCTGTGGGGATCAGATTGTAGACAGGGAGGAAGCCAGACGGGCCTGGGTCACTTGGGCTCTTGCAAGCCAAGCTATGAACTTGATCCTACAAACCCTGTGGAGCGTTTGAAGCTCTTAGGTGGGAGGCTGCATGTGTGATGAGGTCCGTGTTTCAGGAAGAGAATACACTCTAGGGGCAAGAGTGGAGCCAGGAGGAGGCTGTTACAAGTGTCCCCTGAAAGTGAAAGTGGCCAACTGCTCACGTCCAGGGCTTGACTTTCCATCACACCACACAAGCCTCCCTGTTGCAGAAGGGAACCGTCAAAGGTTCTTAAATAAGCCAGAACATACACTCTTGCCTAGGGACTTCATACCAACACGCATCACTGCCTCTACATCTGGAAAACCAGGACAAGCAACGCACCTTGGCCAAGGGTGAGCCTCACACATGGCGAATGGAACATTCTGCCTATCCAACCCTCAGTCGGCCAATTTTGGCTTGGCTTGCTCAGGGGATGACCTGGGAGACGAGATCTATTCCCACCTGCCCTCTTCTCCCAGCACTTCCCCAGCTGCCCCTGCCTCTGTGGGTCAGCGAACACATGTCCCCTTGATGGCACCGCAATCGGAACACAACCAGGAACTAAGCCACAAGATACATATCCAGCCGGAGGGCTGCAGCTGGTGGGTGACCCACAGGTGTGGAATCTTACCCTCCTCCTTCTGACGGCCTGAGGACTGGCTGCCATAGTATCTAGAAAATGTAACATCCAAGTGAACCATGAGAGTTCAAAGCCTGTCCCTCTCATCCTGACACATGACTGGGGCCAAAGAGTGTTCTGTGATCTGAAAAGACATGGCCTTTCCTCTCCTGACCCTGAGAACACAGGCAAGGGTCAGTGACCAGGCCAGGCCACAGCCAGTGTCTAGCCCAGCCAGGTGGCCTCTCCTAAGCCAGCTGGGCCTCAACCCAACCCTCCATTCCTTTTTGAAATGGTTCTATGAAGAGAGATGGGGTTTCTGTCTCCTCCCTCAAGGAGATGGATTCTAAAAATGGAGGAAAAAAATCAATATCATTATGAAGAAGCCAAGGAGAAGGCTTGGTGAGAGGCCTCTCGCAGCTCTACATGCGGCCATCTTTTTGTTTTGTTTTGTTTTGAGATGGAGTTTCACTCTTGTTGCTCAGGCCAGAGTGCAATGGTGCAATCTTGGCTCACCACAACCTCCGCCTACTGGGTTCAAGCGAGTCTCCTGTCTCAGCCTCCCAGCTAGCTGGGATTATAGGCATGTGCCACCACACCCAGCTAACTTTGTATTTTTAGTAGAGACGGGGTTTCTCCATGTTGGTCTGGCTGGTCTCAAACTCCCGACCTCAGGTGATCCTCCCATGTCTGCCTCCCAAAGTGCAGGGATTACAGGCGTGAGCCACCACGCCTGGCCATGATGTGATCATCTCTTAGGCCTGGAGAGAACTAATGCAAGAAACTCCCAATCATGGCATTCTTCCTGGTGACAGAGGGCAAAGGTCATCCCTGCATTTGGACAAGGGGGTGGCAGGGAGACAAGCTCTGTCGCTGTCTGGCCAAACGTCATGGATTATTGACAGCTGCTTCCTGTGCACTTCGAAAGGAAGGCAATCACTAGGAGCCCCCAGGGCCACTGGGCTGGAAGAGCGGACAAAAGTCTGCAGAGGCTGATGCCGCTCCATGTCCACTCAGGCCCAAGCTGACACCTTGGATGACACGTGGGAGACACGTGGGTCAGTCACCCACAGCCTTTGGAGAACTGGGCTGAAGTCATCCAGGTGGGGGTGGAGGGGGAGGAGACTGGGCTGAAATCATCCAGGCAGGAGCAGAGTGGGAGGAGGCAGGAAGCTAGGTATTTCCTCTTCCCACCAAAACACAGTCTTGGAGAGCGGTGGGCATGGATGGGCGTGGTTTCGGCCTGTCTGTCCACATCCCCTTGGGGTGCTGGCATCTTGATTTTCCTTTTTTCTTGAGACAGAGTCTCACTCTGTCACCTAGGCTGGAATGCAATGGCGCTGTCTCAGCTCACTGCAACCTCCACCTCCCGGGTTCAAGGGATTCTCCTGGTTCCACCTCCCAAGTAGCCGGGATTACAGGTGACTGCCACCACACCCAACTAATTTTTTTGTATTTTTGTAGAGACAGGGCTTCACCATGTTGGCCAGGCTGGTCTTGAACTCCTGACCTCCGGTGATTCACAGGCCTCAGCCTCCCAAACTGTTGGGATTACAGGCTGCCTCTTGATTTTTCTAAGGGATCCCTTGGGCCCAACTCCCCATCTGAGCAGCTCCCACCCCCTCCACAGCTCAGGTGGGACCAAGACCAGGCCCGGTCCATGTGAGCAGCTCCCCTACACCCACACAGATGAGTCCAGAAGTCAGCATGTGACAGGGCCACTGGGATTCTTGCTTCTGGGACAGGGATGCTTCCCCAGAGGTTCCTAGGATTTCAGGCTGTGGGCCACTCCCACCACCCCACCAGGGACCGACCTGAGAATGAGGCCCACACAGAGGGAGGCAGAGTTGGAAGACGGAGTCCTGCCAATATCACTTTGAGCTCCTCAGCCCTATTTTGCTAAAGGCTGGAATTGCCCTGGGGCTTTTCCTGTTCATGAGCCTCAAAATTCTCTTCTTCCCTTGAGCCACACTGACCAGGGCTGCTTCTGACTAAGAGCCCTGCTGAAATAAATAATAAACCCCCAGGGGGGCAGCAAGTGCTTCGAAAGCAGCTAGGTGAATCAGCAGGTGAGGGCAGGCGTGTGAGGCTGAAAACAACCAGATGTCCCCAGGGTTGTCAGGCTGCAGACACCCTGGCGGTGGA